GAGCAGGGAAGGCGGAGGATGGGGAAAGGGGTTGGCCAGAGACCCCTCGGAGATGTACTCATCATCATGATATTAAGATGGGCAACAGCTGAACGGATGCAGGGCGGCCCTTTTCAAGAGCGGGGCTGCTGCTGCGTCCTTCTGTGGACTTCTGTCTGGGCGAGACTGAGCGAAGGTCTACGACAAGACTACCAGAGGGTCGGGGCCATTTCCGATCTCGAGACGATTTGCCCCAATGAGGGGGTCTGAGGCTCTGGGTATATATATATATACATACATATATACATATATACATATACATGTACATATACCTATACATATACATATATGCATATATTATACATGTGGTTGTTTTTTCATGAATCTAAAAACGCCGTAATTCCGTGTAGCCAAAAGAATGCAGGGCGGTCTCCTTCCTCCAAGCAGAGCTCCCGCCCGACGGCGAAGCCAAAGTGACGCTCTTCTCTCGAGAGGGGGGCGCTTTTTCCGCAGGGAAGATGAACACTTTTAGGAGCCAGTGCGTGAAGGGGGCTTGGGATGGGAGTATACTGCGGCATCATCATGCACCTTGCGCTTACTCTGGTCCTCCTCTTCCTCCTCCGATCTCTCGTGCCTCCCTCCTATCACCTCCTTCTCCTCCTCCTCCTCCTCTTCCCGTCAACCTCCCTCTGGAACCCATCCCCTCCTCCTGCTCCGTGCCGCCCTCCTCCTCCTCCTCCTCCTCCTCTCCTCCTCCTCCTCCTCCTCCTCCTCCTCCTCCTCCTCCTCTCTCCCTCCTCCTCTCCTCCTCCTCCTCCTCCTCCTCCTCCTCCTCCTCTCCTCCTCCTCCTCCTCATCATCTCATCATCATCATCATCATCATCATCATCATCATCATCATCATCATCATCATCATCATCATCATCATCATCATCCATCATCATCATCATCACATCATCATCATCATATCATCATCATCATCATCATCATCATCATCATCATCATCATCATCATCATCATCATCATCATCATCATCATCATCATCATCATCATCATCATCATCATCATCATCATCATCATCATCATCATCATCATCATCATAATCATCATCATCATCATAATCATCATCATCATCACCAAATCCTCCCCCTCACCATCACATCCCAATCCTCCTATCCATGATCATCCTCCTACTCGTCATCGCCATCACCATCACTATCACCATCATCACCAGCATCATCATCACCACCATCAGCATAAGCATCATCATCATCATCATCATCATCATCATCATCGTCATCGTCATCATCATCAGTATCATCATCACCATCATCGTCGTCGTGATCAGCATAATCATCATCATGATCAGCAGCAGCATTCCTATCATCAGCCTCAGCATGACGACCACCACCATCACCAACCACAGCATAGTCATGACCACCGCCATATCAACCACAACATAGTCGGCATCGATAACGGCATTAAATCCGCCGGCCCCCTTGTGGGGCCACCAGGCTGTAGGCGCGGGTTCGCAGTTTCCAGTACCAGTTGTAGCTTGTAGTTTCCAGCGTTACAGTTCTGCTTCTTGCTGGTTACTGTAACTAGTTGATTGACCGCGCGAGGGGGGGGGAGGCCCAAACGGGATTTTTAGCACCCCCTGGGCGCGTTGTCTGAATTGCTGGGGGGGCTCGAAATCGACACCCCTCACGCAGATCCGCGGGGTCAGGGTCCAAAA